ACATAGAATCGAGAAGATGTGGTATGAGTGCCAATGAGACAACTCTCCATCCAAGTCACAATTTGTAAAAGTAAATGTTTGCTTAGATAGGTCCTTAACAAGCTTTTGTAGTAAACATACTTTAGAGGGACATATTTAAAAAAGACAACGATTTCTAGTCCTTGCAAGCATAGTAAGATGGTATTTGAACTAGTCTTGTATTTGTAAATCTGTGTTGTTACAGTTGTTGCTAAAAATGAATGTTGTTATCTGAATATTTAAAATATCGCACTATAAAATGTTCTTTGCGGTTTCAAAAATCTAAACGTAGTATATTTATTTCTATTTTTGATACCGGATACATAATTTACATGATACACGGATTTCTTGTTCATATTGAAAGTTTTTTTTCAATATCAATATAAATGTCAATTCAAATCTTAATAGTTTAATACTTTTACTAAGACTTCTACAATCTTCTGCGTTACATTGGTTAGTATTACAGCATGCAGCACAAACATCTTTATCTCCAATAGCTCGTCTCCTCTGACCGTGTAAATATCTTAAATAGGTGGTCGCACATCTGTAATATAGTTAAACGTTTCACTATATACATTTTTGAGTTCTTATCAAGTGTACTGTTACAACAGTAAGTTTGTTGAATTATTTCCATTGCCTTTCATTTTAATCACTATATTTTATCGACTGATTAATTGCAAAACAAAATATCTTAAATAATAACACATCTTAGCAAAGAATGGTTTCTTGTTAAATAAAGAACAAAGAATGAATAACTGTTTTTATCAAGAAAACAGAACTAGAATTTGAACGATGTTCTACATCGTAATCGCTCAGCAGAGACATGAACAATTAACTCGATGGTACGAAAAACATTAAACCTGCACAAAATGATATATAGATATAGTTACTGTTAGTAATACTGTTATTAATAATATCTAATAGTTATAATACATATAAATAAGAAGATGTGGTATGAGTGCCAATGAGACAAATCTCCTCCAAGTAACAATGTATAAAAAGTAAAAAAATATAGATCAAAGTACGGCCTTCATACACAGTTGATACGCGTTTTCATAAAAATGTACAAAGAGAACTTTTCGAAGAAGTATAATCACACAGAAGAAACAAAAGCTCCATTTTGGTGTGACAAAATCCCCCAACTCGACATACCCGTTCCGAATTTAAATAAATAAAAAAAAAAAACTGTCTGATTTCACTTCAATTAAAGGGTATGAGCGGATGACATCTTTTTTGGGAGTATTTTCGTCCAATGCAGTAATTTATCAAGCGTTTAGTTGTATGTATTTGACATCTTATTTTAACATATTCAAAGAAATTTACATGCGCATTTCCGGTTGATGAAAAAAAGAAGGTCAAAGCCTGTTTTCTCAATTTTAAAGTTCGATTGCTATCTTATGATATTTAAGAACTATTGAATTATTAAAAATAATGTATTTAATAAAAAGAACATTTTAATTCATTTAACAAACAATAGAAATAAGAAAATGTGGTATGAGTGCCAATGAGACAACTCTCAATTCAAGTCACAATGTGTAAAAAGTAAACGATTATAGGTCAAAGTACGGCCTTCAACACGGATCCTTGGCTCACATAAGCATGTTATATGTTATGTTCATTTTTGTCTGCTTACTATTGATTCCTAAATGTATGAGTGCTCGGTAATTTTCGATTGTGATGATGAAATTTAATTGGGCACACATAACGAAGTCATGTGATCTCTATTTTGCAATTAAGTTCTGTAGGTTTTCGCTTCTTGGTTTGTCAACAGACATTGTTTAATGGAGTTTTATGAATCATCAGGATGTATTGTCCAGTAAATATATCAATAATGAACTGTATTATTTTGGTAGCTTTTATTACTTTAAAACCACAAGAAGAATGAAATTATTAATTGGAAATGAAGGACTTCATACAATGTCGTGTACAAAAAAAGTGTGCTAATTTGTGTTATTCAAAACCTATTAAGAGACATGCCTTATATTTTTCTCATTATTCTAATTACTAAGAATAACATTAAATCTAGCGACACATTTTCTTCAATGTATTTTTTATATATGATATTCGTATCAACTTACTAATTTTCGCTCACATCCGAGTTGAGCCACTCTTTGCACACAAACCTAAAGACATTAACCGCGCAAATAAAATACAAATAACAATATCCTAAATAAAGTTCATTATGAAAAAACGTGAGGAGATGACAAGATGGCACTGCATCCAGTGTGATACGATATTTATAAAATATGCTGGCTACCTTATTCCTTCTTTTCAAATGATCTACAAAACGATGTGTTCTTTCTATTCGACGCCACCAGGCATGGTTGTTTTCTATGCGACGTCATCAGGCATGGTTGCATTATTCATGACGTCAAAATAGGAAATTCAGTGGAAAGCATGAACATTTGACGTCATAATCAGATTTTGACCAATTAATAACTGAGATCAAACGAACCACACGTTAGAATATGTCACTAGCTCATGATCAATGAAAAGGTAGAGAAATTAAGATGAAACATATGACACGGTTGTTGATTAAACCATAATTATCTGAAACGAATCAAACGATTCAATTGAAACCACTGCTGTAAATGCATCAGACATTTGTCAAATATATTTATCTCACCATAAAATAGTGTAAAAATGATAACTATGAGTATATTTTTGTAATAAAATAAATGTTTACTCCATACCCAATAATGTTTGATTGTGATTATCTAAAAAAACAATAATGCAGATATTTTCTTTACAACTAATCATTTGCTAAATGCTTATTAAAGATTTGTATTTTTTTTTTCATATCAACTCTACATTTAATTTTTTTCGTTTTTTTTTTTTTTTTTTTCTATTTTAGAAAATAACATGTAATTAAATTTATTATATTATTATTCTAATGTTGAAATTTTGATTAAGGTGCTTTCTACGTAGTTCTTTTAGGAACGTTTGAATATATAGTTGGCAAATGCTAGTATGTTAACGTTAAGAATATGTTTAAGTGTATAAACTCAGATAAAAGCTCCATAGAGCTTGAGTTTAATCATGTTAATTGTTTGATACACTCTGAATCAAAATAAAGATTTCTCATCTTGTTTTATCTTATTATCGCCTTGTTATTTTAAGATATACCATTCTAGTGTGTCCAATATTTCTCTGTGTAACTATTACGTTTTTTATAATGAGCAGAATGATTTACTTTTGTTTCAAATGCAGACATTTTTGGTCTAAATTTAGTTTAATCCTGTCAAGTAATGCAGTAAGAAAACATAAACAGTGCCGCAGGTTAACGTATTATAACCAATTTTATTGAACCTGATTAGCATTTCTACAAATAATTTCTTTAAAATGATGCTCGAGGGAAATATTTCCAATATATATCAGTTGATATTAAAATAAAAGTGTTAAAGGTTAAAGTAGTTTAGAACAACATTTGCAAAATAATATTCTCACATTTTAAATCATATTTTCAATGTTTGCAAATTATTTTTTTCGATGAATTCAAGATAGAAATATATCGATGTGAAAATAAAGGCTGCTCGTTGTGTCCCTTTTACACATATTTCCTGTCTTAACAATAATTTATGGTTGTTGATTGCACCCTTGGCATCTTCGCCCTCTCTGTTTGGCAATATTTCTCAAACAATTAACATATGGCAGAAAAAGGTCATAAGCTGGAAGCAAAGTTTACCAAGCGACAGATGCGAAACCCTAAATATTGTATATGAATTATTTAGATTATTAAAGATACTATGTGATTTGTAAATTTCCATTTTGAGTTCGAGGCTTCATATCAGATCAAAAACCAATAAAATATGGAAGGGGCAATAATAGTCAAATGTCTTACAAATATTAAATCACAATGACCTCAATAAACGAACATACAAACAAAAGTCCACAATGTAATACACCAAAAACGGGTTTCAAATAAATTGTTTCATGTAAGCAAACAGTATTATGACCTGCCTGACTTAATAGATATAAGAAGATGTGGTATGAGTGCCAATGAGACAACTAACGCTACTATAGAAATAACTACGAGTACTACGATGGGAACAAACGATTAACGTTCAAAAAAGGGGGGTCTCTGTATATTTTTATAATTAAACTGTAGTGCTCTAGTGGTTAAATGTGAATTAAACTTTGTAGAAAAAAGTCAAAGAGTACCAAATAGACATTCAAACTTAAGTCGAAAATAAACTGACAACGCAACAGCTAAAAACGAAAAAGACAAACAATAGTACGCAAAACAATAAAGAAAACTAAAGACTAAGCAATAAAAACTCCAACAAAAACTGGAGGTGACCGAATGTAGGTAAATCCGGAAAAGCGCTTCGGACGCATAAAATTTGTTACGTGTTGTTTTCACATTTAACAACACTGGGTCGATAACTTTGCTGCTTGACTATCAGTCCCAAATGGTATCACCAGCTCCGTAGTCAGTACGTTGGTACTGGCATGATTTATAACAAACTGTTCTAAAATTGTCCGTTTATAGATTTCGAAATTATTAGGAAACTAAGGTTTCAACTCCCTCGGGCAAAGTTCACCTTAGATGGATCTGACTATTTTTTTAGGTCTTATTTGGTCATAGAGCTCTTCAACCTTTTTGGTTCTTATACTCCTTGGCTTTCAAATATTCGACTTTGAGCGTTCCTGATAGAGGTCAAATCAGAAAAGAGCTTCACAAACATTATACATGTACAAAATAAAGAGACATTTGGCATTGAGATAGCTATCTAGTTTATACTTAAATGAGCAACACGACACATGCCACATGTGGAGCAGGATCTGCTAACATTTCTGGAGCAGTCGAGATCACCACCGGTCTTTTGTGGAGTTTGTATTGCTCAGTATTTAGTTTTCTATGTTGTGCTTTTTTTTCTGCCATAGCGTTGTCAGTTTGATATTCCTTTGGTATCTTTCGCCTCTCTCAAATAATTGTTTTAACCATAAAACAGGGAAAATTTGAAAAATCAAATACCTACTCTGATTACACAAGAAGCCATTACATAAAGTACCATTTGTTGTACCAGTTGAGCAGCACTGAGCTCATTTGACGCTGTCGTTCTTTGTCCTTTGAAAATTATCTTGTCTTTTTCTCCCAACAGCGCTTGCTAGTAAGTTACAAATCTGTCGCACAAAACAAAAAATAACCAACGAAGTTATACATTTGTGATTCAAAATGAAAAGAAAAGCATTAATTTCATGAAATCTACAGCTAGAGACTAAGAAAAGAGGAAAAATTAACACAGCCTTACCTCATGTGTACTGAACGTAAATGCTCCCTTTACTTTGCGTCAACTTCAAAATTTCAGTTGATATAAAAAGTCACCACGCGTGTACTTCCGCGTTAACGTAAAACCTTAGCGTTTTTTACTTTTGATAAAAGTAAACGCATAATTATTTTGTGTAGAAAATTTGCGTTAACGACATTTGTCATGGCATCCTAGATATATTGATTAATCTTATCAAAACTATTTTACATCAATAGATTAAGCGATTACAGGTATGTGCATGTTGGAAAAACTAAGGTTTCAACTCCCTCGGGCAAAATTGACCTTAGATGGGTTTTGGTCATATAACTCTTCAAGTGTTTCGGTTCTTATACATCCTCGGCTTTCAAATATTCGGGTTTGAGCGTTCCTGATAACGTCATTTTTGATAAATGCTTTGTTTTAAAAAAAAATCTGTTTTTTTAATAAAAAAATCTTTATATTGAAATAGACTGAAAAGTTTTAATCTTACAGAAGACATTTAAAAGTTACGCTGTGTAAGCTGTAGGCAGTTACAAACAAAGATACATAAATGCCGGTTTCAAAGCAAGGATAACGACGACTCCAGTCCATTTTATTACATCTATATGCATGGAATACTTTCCATACATTGAGGAAATATCGGACGCCAAACTTAACTGATGGCATTTTACTCCTCATTGCAAATCTGATGGTTTGTTCGTCATTTCTTTCTATCAAAGGACTCTCCACAGATAGTGTTCTAGAAATCATGTTGTCCTCTGAATCGACAGTAGACGAAATGAAAAACTCACATACTTTTAAAGTTTGTATACCCCAACTGTTCATAAAGGTTCACCAAACGGGTTGCAGGTTAAACAGCTGAGCATCCCTTCTAGGTTTTGGTAGTCTGCTGATAAATTATACAATTGACTGCGATTTCATTTTCAGGAAGGGTCTCTCTGACGGCAGGAAATGTACCCTTCAACGCTTCCCACTTGTCATATGTTAGAGAAATGCCCTTCTTTGTTAAAACTATCTTCTTTGTATCAAAGGTCAGTCGGTGTTGTCTGACATCAACGGTTGGATAAATTTTGTTCACGGTGACCTAAACACCTTTACCCAGATGAAAGGTCATTTTTGGAAGCCCTGCAACGTCATCAATCATTTGACCTAAAGCATCCTCAATTTCATTTACATACATTTCTAAAAGCTGCCACTGGTTCAAATTCAAGGCGACCCTTTTTTGTAGGAAAAAAGTAAAATCACAAAAATACTGAACACCGAAGAAAATTCAAAAAGGAAAGTCCCTAATCAAATGGCAAAATCAAAAGCTCAAACACATCAAACGAATACACCAACTGTCATATTCCAGACCTGGTACAGGCATTTTCTTATGTAGAAAATGGTGGATTGAATCTGGTTTTATAGGTAGTTAAACCTCTCACTTGTATGACAGTCGCATCAAATTTCATTATATTGACAATGATGCGTGAACAAAACAAACAAACACAATAGGTAAAAAAGTCAAAAATAGGGTACAGCAACATATCTGACAGCCGGATTCTTCTCGTATTTACGGAAGTGAACCAGGACTCTATCACACCATTCACTGACGACAACAAAGATATCGCCCACATAGGTAACAAAGCTCGGTCTTTTGATACTTCTGTTGTTTCAGTCATTGACGCTTTTAAAAGATGTATTAAAGCAGACTTCCCTTCATCAATCAGTGTTGTAAAAAAACCGTCGAATGCCTGTGGTCCTCTTCTCTGAATTGTAGAAATAAGATGTCTAGTTTTTGAATAAGAGTTCGAATTCTGCAAAATTTCTTCTCTCAACTCATCTGTCAGTATCCCAGTCTGATGCAAATGATCAACTACAACATCTATTGATGTTTTTTTCACCAATTTTACGTAATTGCGCTGAAGAGAATCTCTGTGTTCTTACTGCATGTTGACAGTTTGGGCGTATTTCTGATTCTGATACCATGACGAATTTTCAAGCGTTCATTTATAGTGAGCAGGTTGGAGGGATGATTGGGGTCTATAATATTTTGGGGGTTATAGGTTTTCAATACATTTGTACATCTTTTCTCTGTGTTCATGTGATAAAATAGGGCCACATATCCTCTCCATTGTGTAAACACGTCGTCTAAAACGATGGGCACCAATGGCATATTTCATCCAATGACCTTTTCTTTCGCAAACCCCCAGACTATCATGGAATGGATTTCTTTAATTTTTTCATCGGTTAGAAACCGAGTCTAGAAAGTATAAAAAAACAATCGAATTACACTTTTTTTTTCTTTTTTTTTCTTTTTGAATGGCCAAGTGAGTTTTTCTCTTGGCGTCAGTCGTCCGTCGTCGTCGTCCGTCGTTAACTTTTTACATTTTTAACTTCTTTTAGAGAACCACTGAATGGAATGATACCAAACATGGCATGAATGTACCTTATGAGGTCCTGACAAAGTGTTGTTACTTTGTAGCTGATCAATCATTCAAGATGGCCGTCAGCGTGGACTTCGTTTAACATAGGACCCTATGAACAATACATACAAATGTCTTCTTTTAAAAAACCACTGAATGGAATGAAACCAATCATGGCATGAATGTTTCTTATGAGGTGCTCACCAAGTATTGTTACTTTGAAGCCGATCCATCATTCAAGATGGCCGCCTGAGAGGGAATTAGTTTAACATAGGACCTTAGGGGAAATACATACAAATGTCTTCTTTGAGAGAAATACTCAATGGAATGAAATAAAACATGGCATGAATGTTCCTTATGAGGTACTGACCAAGTGTTGTAACTTTGTAGGCGATCAATCATCCAAGATGGCTACCAGCGGGGGACTTCGTTTAACATAGGACCCTATGTACAATACATACATATGTCTTATGTTAGAGAACCACTGAATGGAATGAAACCAAACATGGCATTAATGTTTCTAATGAGGTTTTTGAAGCCGATTCATCATCCAAGATGGCTGCCAGAGAGGGACTAAATTTAACATAATACCCTATGGGAAATACATACAAATGTCTTCTTTTAGAGAACCATTTAATGGAATGAAATGAGACATGGCATGAATGTTCCTTATGAGGTTCTGACCAAGTGTTGTAACGTTGTAGGCGATCCATCATCCAAGATGGCTGCCAGTGGGGGACTTCGTTTAACATAGGACATTATTGACAATGCATACAAATGTCTTTTTTTAAAGAATCACTGAATGGAATGAAACTAAACATGGCATGAATGTTCCTTATGAGGTGCTGACAAAGTGTTCTAACTTTGTAGGCGATCAATCATCCAAGATGGCCGCCAGCGGGGGCTTAGTTTAACATAGGACCCTAGGGAAATACATACAAATGTCTTCTTTTAGAGAACCACTGAATGGAATGAAACCAAACATGACATGAATGTTCCTTATGAGGTGCTGACAAAGTGTTGTAACTTACTAGGCGATCAATCATCCAAGATGGCCGCTAGCGGGGACTTAGTTTAACATAGGAACTTATGGGAAATACATACAAATGTTTTCTTTTAGAGAACAACTGAATGGAATGAAACCAAACCTGGCATGAATGTTCCTAATGAGGTGCTGACCAAGTGTTGGTACTTTGTAGCCAATCAATCATTCAAGATGGTTGCCAGCGGAGAACTTAGTTTAACAAAGGACCCTATGTGAAAAACATACAAAAGTCTTCTTTTTTTTTGATTCGAGCGTCAATGATGAGTCTTTTGTAGACGAAACGCGCGTCTGGCGCAAAAACAAAATTTCAATCCTGGTATCTATGATGAGTTTATTTGAAGAACCACTGAATGGAATGAAACCAAACATAGCATGAATGTTCCTCATGAGGTGCTGACTAAGCGTTGTTACTTTGTATCAAATCCATCAACCAAGATGGCTGCCAACGGGGGAATTAGTTTAACAAAGGACCCTATTGGAAATATATACAAATGTCTTCTTCTAGAAAACCGCTTAATGGAATGAAACCAAATATGGTATGAATGTTTCTTTTGAGGTGCTGACCAAGTGTTGTTACTTTGTAGCAGATTTGTCATTGTCCTTATAAAGTCATTTTCTACAATTTCAATGAATTTAATGGCAATTTCTGTAAACTTTACAAAAGTCTTCTGCTTTTGATTAAATTACGGGCCAATATTAAACCAAAATGGACTCAATCATTTCAAGGGTATCTATTATGATTTAAATCTAGTTTTTCACGATTTCCAAAACCAAAGTAGAATCAGGTGATCGACACATGCTCTTGGGAGCCTCTAGTTTACGTTTTCTCATCTTTTGAAAGTACATTTGACATTTCACTGATATCAATGAAATGCATAAAGGGTATTGATACCGCCCTCAATTGATTTTATAATAGAACAGGTTGATTATCAAAACCTATTTAAGAACATAACAAAAGAACTTTATAACCCCCAATATCTATGACTACAAATTTAGAATAACAAGGGAAGTATTTAAATTATAAACCACAAATTTATTTAAGAAAATTACAAAAGAAGTTAATACACCCCAAACCTACTTAAGAAACAAACAAAGGAATTTTATTCACCCAAAATATGTTGGGTGTACGGGCCTAAAGAGCTGTTATACTACTCATAACTATCAATCAAGCATATAAAACACTGTTTCGTCTACTTAAAATATTAAAGCAGATCTTGGCAACCATATCATAACACTCAGTACTTTTGTTATATTAAAATTTTGTCTTCGGCAATTCATGATTTTATTATAAAAACTAGTTGTTATAGCAAAATTATGAATTGCCAAAGATAAAATTTAAATATAACACTTTCAGAAAGATATATAAATTTATCATCATCAGATGAAATATAAAAATCAGCATTACTTCTTTAAGTTTCTTAAAATAAACGTTCACGTCAATCTGCATACAAAGGGTAATCTTATAATATAAAACATGTTTCTTATCTTCAATCTGATCTATACATATAAAGCAAACTTTTCATTTACAGTTTTGTTTCATAACGACCTGTTTATATTATGCAAACGTAATTCCATTTGTTCCCGCAAACGTAATACCTGTCAAAATTTAAATACGCGCAAACGAAGTCGCCCGTCTGACCGTATATTCGACATAGGTAAACGTTAAAAAAAGGTCACAGAAAAAAGTCACAAATTTGTTAGGAAAAAAGAACAAATTTGATTAATGTAGGAAAAAAAGGGTGAAACATGTCATTGTTTTTTTAAAATGTAAATGTATGTTTTCTTGAACTCAATTTGCAATTGGTCAAAATTCAATTATGACTTCAAATTTTCTTGCTTTCCTCTGGTTTCATTATTATGACATCATGAAAAAAAGTGACCATTCATTGAAAGAACACAGTTCTCTCACATGATCAAAAGTTTTGGAAGTCAAATAATAAACCTTTTAGAGCATCCAGATCAAAGGAGGACTAAAAAGGACGGCCAAAATCCAATAGATATTCTTACCGTATTATCAGTAGTGACACCATTGTGTGAGCCATATCGTTTAGTATAAAAGTCAAAATAATTGTGGATTCTTCAGTAAAATGGCAACTTATTTCTCTGTCATATCAAATATTTATTAAAAGTTAGAAGTAAAATCAGACAAAACTTAGAAAATCCATGCAAATAATCCCTTGTGAAATTTGTATAGTCCATGGCATGACTATCTTCTCCATTTATACTTTGATAAAATTATTTCACTTCACTCATACTACACATTTCATATGCAACAAAGAAGATGCTCCAAATATAAGGACAAATCTTCAACAATGCAATAAAAAAATGAAAATCTAAAAGTTAAATATGTTGCCATGGTAATAATTGTCTTGGGATGCTTTGCATGGGAAATAGAAATATATATACTAGGTCTTCATCAGTGCATCTGTCATTTCAGTCTTGTTGGCGCTCTCACATGCACACCTCTTTTTTTTATAAAACTTACGTCATAGATTTATATCAGCTATAAATAAGAAGATGTGGTATGAGTGCCAATGAGACAACTCTACATCCAAGTCACAATGTATAAAAGTTAACAATTATAGGTCAAAGTACGGCCTTCAACACGGAGCCTTGGCTCACACTGAACAGCAAGCTATGAAGGGCCCTAAATGACTAGTGTAAAACAATCCAAACAGGAAAACCAACGGTCTAATCTATATAAAAAACTAGAAACGACAAACACTTATTAACCACACCAACAAACGACAACCACTGAACAACACGGTCCTGACTTGGGACAGGTGCATAAAAATGCAGCGGGGTTAAACGTTTTAACAGGCGTCAACATTCACCCTAACCTTAGACAGTAGTGTAACAATTTTTGCCAGATTTATATCAAATTTACATCATAGGTTTATATTAGCAATGTCTCGGAAAATTCTTAAATCAATGCTGATCAAATATGTTACATGTATATTGTTATATATTATATTGTCTTTTTATTAATCACTTAACAAAGACGGCATATTCTTTAAAAATCAATCACATTTCTAAATGTAGACGAAGAAAACAAATCATGAAATAATAAACTTGATGTTCATTTGACAATTTTTTCAAAATTAATTATTTTTTCATCTTTTGTAAAAGCTGAATACTTTAATACTATAGAAGGAAATTTATTGTGAAATATTTACCTTTTTTTTGCGCGTCAGCAATTCCAGTTAAAGTTTGTGTCAGGAGGAAAAAATGTATGTAATTTGCTCTTAATGTAATAAGCCTTAATATAGCTCACTTCTCATTGATTCTGACTAAATAACAAGTTATATATAAAATACCACATAAAATAAAAGTATTATTTAAATGTCACCAGCCACAACATTCTCCGATTATAGAGGTATTTAGGCAAATATATGTTTATTGTATATTTTTTAAATATTAAATGTTGGAAAACATCGTGCTAATTTGTCCTCTAGTGTCGCTTATACTGCCAGATTTGTTGAAATACAAAAACCAAGTGCACTTTTGTAATTTATCAATGGACTTTAGATGTCAACTTCATAATTTGCTAAAACATTTATTGATAAATGCACTTTTGTTATTTAACAATAGTTTTTAAATGTCAATTGCATGATTTGCTAAAGCATTTATTGATGACTGATATGTAATCTATGTTTTAAATGAGAGTATAAACAGTAAGGATTCTACTTTGTCAAAATTGTCTCCCCATTACGCCACCTCATTTTTATAATCGTAAAAATGGAAGCCATTGTAGTGATGACGCGCTGTCAATTTAGCTCTTGAAAACCGATCAATTTATCCACATAGCATCATTACGATCCATATATGACAGTTGTATTTTAAAAGACAAATGTATCTACTAGCTACTGAGCATCATTCAATGTACTTTTGTGCTTTGCTTTGGTCAACTTAAAACTATTGTCTGATCGATTGTCAGGGGGAATTTTCGAAAGTTAAAAAAAAAAAAATATATAATTAGATATTTCGTGGAAGGGCAGACTAAAAATTTTCAGAGGTTGAAAACTAATTACCATAGATAACACACACATAAATTGAAGCTTTTTTGAAGGTATGCATTTCTAAGATTCACTTGTAAAGTCTGTCGTCAAGTACTTTTAGTAAAAAATTGTTATTTGAACACACCTACTCTTTTGTCATAACTCATTAGAAACGTATTTCACTTGACCCATGTATTTAATTTTCAGTACTGTAAATTTTTAATGTTATTATATCAACCTATAGCCTAAATAAATAAAAATAATAGAATATGAATCGAAAGGATGTATTAAACATTTGTCTTTTGTATGATTTGAAGACAGAATAGTCAACTCAATTGAAACATGCCAGAACATAAAAAGGTGTACTCGACTTTCTCTTTTCGATGAGATCATTGCCCATTTTGGGGATTTTTCCCAAAAAACTGTTCCCGGGGGGTAGAGATGCAAATAATGCTTTAAAAAGATCAATCTATTATCTTTCTTTGGAATTTGTTTTGGGGGAATTTATGCTTATGCACAAAAAAATCCCCATGTATTTGCACCTACCACAATGGACTGTTTTGTGAAAATATGTCTTTAATTTAAAAGTTTAAAAATATCCTAACGCTCAATACCATAATCTAAGTAAAACACATATGTAAGATGCATAAAATTCTAAATTATGCATATTCATTAAACTTTTAAAGCCCATAAAAACAGATTTACCAACTAGGCCTTTTTTACCTTCTCTACTAAAGAGTTCCATTTCTTTTGTTTATTTTCAACTGGGTTTCCGCTTGTAAACACTCCGTAAAAAGTATATGTCATTTTTGTGCTAAGGAAAAGTATATAAAATATCTGAATTAATTATTTGTTTATGTAGAAACCAACTATTTCAAAATACAGTCCTTTGTACTCCCTTAAGATCAGTTTATCTATTCTCATTACTTGGCATTCATAATCCATTGTCTGTATAATGTCTAAGTGAAAATGAAACACAATTTTCTCCTTTGAAACCACCAAGCCATCAATCTCAAGTACAGAATTCATATCAGTTTCAAACGTGCTTTGTAATACTTAACTTCATATTGATTGTAATGTTACATAGTATAGAACGGAACGGATATGATCTCTGCGCCGGAGATTGCCAAGCCATTTGAAACAAATTTGTCCTCTAGTGTCTTTTGTAAGATTTTTTCCTGGTGTTCATGCCAATCAAACAACATGTCACCATTGCTAAATATAGAACATATATTTAAAGTGCAAGTAACTGTTTAATATTTAGAAAACCATAATAGGGGCACAAATTTTAACAGAGTAAAATGCTCAGAAATTGGATTTAGCTACTTCCCTTAAACACTAAAATTCTCAAGAGTCCTTGAATGATGATTTTTTAACCAGTTTGACCATTTTTGCATTTTATTTTGATAAGTTAAAAAGAGGAAAAGAATATTTTTTACAGTAACAATAATCTACAATACAAAATCTACGAAGGAGTGAGAGAAGACACCAAGGGGGTAACCAATATCCAGCTACAAGAAAATCAGAACACTGATCAAAAGAAAAACATGATGAAAAGACAAACAATACTTAACATAACACTACACAGAAAACTAGAAATTGCAGATATGCTTGAAAACCATCAATTGACTGCTTAAAGGATTAATTGTCCTTAAAAGACAATTTTTTACATATAATCCTCCAAAAATTATAAATTACTAAGACTTACAAATTAATGTCTCAATATATGACCGACCGTGCAACACTCTCATAGGTAGTCAAGGTTGTCAAACACACCACCCCCCCCCCCCCCCCCCTCCCCACACACCCCCTAGTAGTACCATATATGATTGATTCACTAAAAAAAACAAAAAATCTCAAATTCTGTTTTGATTAATGTTTCACGAATCACAAAGAATGCAAATTCATAAAAAAGATATTTATAAACATGTTCCAATTCAGGAGTTGAAGTCGCAGGCACTTGTTTCTGAAAAAAAATCATTAACCTTCTAACCTTCATTTAACACTATATATAAATTCAATCACATATTTAGTTAAATCGTAATCATGTATTTTTAATAGTTTTAAATTCATCTATTTTAATAACATATAAAATAGGAATGATCCAAACTTCTACATATTTTCTTGCAATTGGTAAAGAGTATTTTGTTTTCAATGAGAGTTATTTATATTTCTCTATACTATATAATGATTGAGAATGAGTCTTTAAGGTTGTGTCTAGGGTAAATTGTTACTTGTTGTCATATTGTATAAAGTTATTTTTATATTGTTTTGTTTAGCCTTTGAAAAACTATGATGCATATCATTAATAGTAATGTTTGCTACTTAGTGGAACTATCAGCTAAAAAGCTGAGAATACTGATTTGGGACCAATCATCCACAGTATTTAGAAATATTCCCAGGAAGGAACTATATGTCAATAAGTTATCTAAATTTGACGATTTCTGTTTTGCAAATTTTTATTTGCTAGTATGAGATAATATCATTTACAAAAATGTTCTCGCTGACCCATGTGTAAGAGTAGAATACTACTCTTGTACTCTCTAATAAAAACAACATGCAATCTAACATGAAGTATAATAATGCTTACTGTACCTGATCACAAAAAGCTGCTTATTCTTCAACTTTGAAATGTCTGTATTTTATCTTTCTTTTTTCATATTCTTACTGAGTCTCCACTGTCACTTTCTATTATACTATGTATTGTTTATAAACTAAATATTTCATAAACAAACACTTTTGCTACACAAACACATTATTTGCATGATAACGCATACTTTATTTCAGTGTCAATGCATGCTTTGGGTGAATAATAACAGTTGCAAGGTAACTTTCTTAATTTCATCATACTATTGCTATAAAGGTACAACGTAAGGGAATTTTTGGGATGAAAATATCATTATCAACAATTTACTGAAATGTGACCACTACTTCAAATATAAAGTTTAATTAAAACAGTATATCACTTTTTGACTGTAAATTATAAAATGAAACTTATCCATGAAAGGAAAACACATTTCTGCTTTGTATATATGGGGTCAGTAAATTCCATATGAGGTGAGAGCGAAGCTCGAATCCCCATATGGCATTTACTGACCCCATATACATCGTATTAGGTCACTGGCAAACTTTTTAACGAATTTATCTTACCGACTATCTTAACATGTGGCTTATCGAAGTGATCAAGTCTTTAATACTGTTAGTATTAAGAACCTATTTACTCTGGTCTATACAAAAACAAATGTCAACAATAACAACTTGTTAGCTTTAAATGTGGTTTATGAATTTATTTCAATCTTTCATTATCAATTTCTTCATCTGTTGAAACCTTTCAGATTTTTCCTCAACACGTGTTGTTTTCATAAAGGGACGTTACACCACTACTAACCGTGTATTGAAATAAGCCCCGCCTTCTAACCCCATATGAAATATACACGGTCTCCACGCGGTTGCTTTTAACCAATCATATTTCTAGAAATGTTGGAGGTAGGATAAGTTTTGATATTTAAGAAAGCATCCAGATTTCTTTTCGACATAAACAGACCTACACTGTTCACGGTAAGACAATCTTTATATTTAATTTTTTTTTAAACAGAGCCATAGTTTAACAAAGTTTGAAATTTGTTAAACGATAATTTTTAGAAATAAAATATAAAAGAATAAATGTAAATTTTTGAATTGAATTATCATTTTCTGGATTGCTACAAAAATAAAGCTTCAAAATCTATACTTTTGGCTTGGACTATGTTTCCACTGGTTATGAGGAGTTGCTATCAACGGTGCATAATAACGGCAGAAAAATCGAACAAACGGACGACTGAACAATCCAGTGAACCAGCGTTTGTTTGGCTGCAATAATTTATTTTCTTTTAAATTGCATGCGTTATCCATCAAAGAAACAATGCTTCGGGCATATTTTTGAATAAAGTAAAAACAAAAATCAAATCAAAATACTGTTTAACAGATTACAGATGCAATATTGTTTTTCAACAAACAAGGTAAATACGGTCTTAAATATTTAACAAAACGTTTTAGTCCAGTGAAAAAACTCTATTTTTCAATGTTTTTTTTCTAAGAAGAACTGTAATGCAATGCGTATTCTGTAGAAATTACAAACACTTTTTGAACCAAATTAATCAAACTTTTAGGTCATTTTTTTCGTTTGAATTTACATTTGTCTTTTTGGTTCCTTTTATAGCTTGCAGTTGCGGTACGGGTTTTTGATAAAGACGAAGGCCGTACGGTGAAATATAGTTGCTAATTTCGACGTCATTAGGTTCTTGGGGAGAGTTTTTTCATTGGCAATCATACGTGTCTCGGTATTTATATAATCAACATCCATATATTTAGTTATGATGTTTCTTTTGTAAGTCCTATTAGATATTTTGTTATGTCTTATGCTCGAAACGACGTGGTTCGGTATTTATCTATCCCGCTTTCGGGCTTTTTGATGTTACTTTCTTATACGTGTGGGTCCGGTGGGTCATTTTGTACTGAGTTTTTCTATTTTTTTTCTTTTATTCTGTAGATGATCAAAAGGAATAGCATGCCGGCTCTCTTCATTGCAGTTTTCGTACTGAACGGAATTGGTAATGTTTTATTTATCATTTTTTTTTGTATATATGTTCACACTTTTTTAACATTCCTCATTTGTTTAACCATTTTTTACGTCATTCCTGTAACTTGTGCATTTTAAATTGATGAGCAGTATTTGCGTCAGAAAAACATTTTATATAAAGCGATACTCAATAACGATACTTCCTTCTTCATTGGATAAAGTGTAAACAGAATCGGAAACATAATTTAATAAAACATCAGTTGTTCATGACTTCGTAACGCCAAATGTAAAAAGATATAGGACATTAAGGACCTAGTTTATTTCGTACATTTATTGTGAAATTTCAGGTTGATATAAAATAGTATACACTAACCTTTTTTGTATAGCAATTGAACAAATAACAAACAAAAAATGAAAATAGGTTATCAGCAGGTAGCACTTAAACCAAAGTTTGAGCAATGCAGACTCTGATAAATACCAAAAACGATATCAAGTGACCTGGAAGTGTATGCATGCATAGAAATCCAATTAAATACAAAGACAGAGGTGTACCGTTTTTTCTCATTACCTGATATTATAAAAGTATCACTATGTAATAACACAAGATCAGTTTTTTACCAAATTATAAAATCGTCATCAAAGTAGAACGAAGAGAAACATAATTTCCATCTGTTTTTTCATGTTTTTAAGCGTTTAATTCTGTTTACAGGTGAGGCAATAGCAGAGTACAAAAGAGTTTGCTATTACACAAATTATGCACAGTACAGGCAAACTCCTTTCAAGTATTTCCCGAAAAATATTGACCCATTTCTCTGTACGCATATTATGTACTCTTTCGGAAAAGTTAGTGGACTTACAATCAAGCCGAATGAATGGAACGACGAAGGCAAACCATGGTCAAAAGGTAAAACGTACAGCATAGAAAAAACTAAGAAAATCTACAGTGCACACAACACGTGTGTTTCTGGAGTATCATACACCAGGTACGTTCGTTATAACACGTCTGTTTCTGGAGTAACATACATCAGGTACGTTCGTTATAACACGTGTGTTTCTGGAGTAACATACATCAGGTACGTTCGTTATAACACGTGTGTTTCTGGAGTAACATACATTATGTACGTTCGTTATAACACGTGTGTTTCTGGAGTAACATACATCAGGTACGTTCGTTAAAAAAGACAAGCTAATCAGAACAGTTAAACCAATTATCGTTGCTTAAAATGAAACAACACTTTTTATGAATTTTATGAGTCCCGAAAAGACCTTTATCTGGAATGTTTAAGACAAATATTTGAAACCCAAAGATGTATAAATACCGAAACACGCGAAGAGCTATATATCCAAAAGAGGGAGTTGCATCCCTTGTTAGTACATTTACATGATTTTATGAAACGGAAATTTACAAACGAATTATATAATTTAAAAGATGTCAATAAGTTTCTGAATAGTATATCTTTATGTTAATGCATTCTTAGGATGTGTCATATGGAAATTGCAATAAGGCAAGGGCAACATTAAAGCTTTTTTTTTCTGTCATATAAGCAAATGCGAACATATGTTTTTTTTTGCTACATTTCAAATGAACGGTGTGGTGAAATTCTTATCTTAGAATGTGTTGTTATTATGTACTTCGTTTGATTTTATTTACCAAAATTAAAATTTTTAAGTGGATTCTGTCCTTCGATATGGACCTCAATAGTATATATCACTTGTTATACATCTTTTTAATGTAAATTAATTTTCAGCATAAAGTTTAGATAGATATAAGAAGATGTGGTATAAGTGCTAATGAGACAACTCTCCATCCAAGTCACAATTTGTAAAAGTAAACCATTATAGGTCAAAGTACGGCCTTCAACATAGTCTCACACCGAACTGCAAACTATAAAGGGCCCCAAAATGACTAGTGTAAAACCATTTAAACAGGAAAATTAACGGTCTAATTTATATAAAAAACGAGAAACAAGAAACACTTATGAACCACATCAACAAAGGGCGACCACTGACCATCAGGTTCCTGACTTAGGACAGGTGCAAACAAATGCAGCGGGTTTAAACGTTTAATAGGCGCCAAAAAAAAAATAACGTACACAGATCAATAAAAATAATTTTTTTGTTAGTTATACATGGAGTACGGAAATATTTTTTTCAAAATAAATATGTTGTTGTTCATAGTACGATAACATAAGTGAAAATTTATCGTCATACTAAACACTTATCAAAGGTGGTAAATATTAATAAATAATGAGACGAGATGTCATTGTTACCTGTCATTATAAATAGTTATGAATTGTAATTTGATTAATAACAGGCATGTTTGAGAGGACAATGGCAGCAAAAACAAAAAATCCAGATTTGAAAATTCTGATTGCCATTGGAGGATGGAAAATTGGGTCTCGTCCATTTACAGACTTGGTTGATAATGAAAATGATATTGACACGTTTGCTCGAAATTCCATCGATTTCCTAAGAAAGCATAATTTTGACGGGTTAGATTTGGATTGGGAATTTCCAGGAAATAGAGGAAGTCCACCTGAAGATAAACAAAGGTTTACAAAATTTGTTAATGTATGTATTATTCTGATAAAGTTAATAATATTAGTTTATGTTGACCATGTACAGCAAAATATTAAAAATTAATCTTTGTCCTATGTGTTCAAGGTTTTCACTTTACTGATACTCCATTTCTACTTCGCTTACAATTGATACTTTCGTTACATTTTACGCTATCTGTTATTGGAGTTTAATGCCTTGATGGTTTTATCACCTCATCAGAAGACACCCTAAACCTCTGACTGATACTTATTTCCACCCTCTAAGATTGTTCAATTGCAGGACGTTTGATTTGATTTTTACTGAGTACATGTATCAGGTTAAAAAAATTCACCGACAAATACCAGGTATAGATTACCTTAGCTGTATTTGGCAAAACTTTTAGGAATGTTTGGTCCTCAATGCTCGTCAACTTCGTACTTTATTTGGCCTTTTCAACATTTTTTTATTCGGGCGTCACTGATGAGTCTTCTGTAGACGAAACGCGCGTCTGGCGCAAATACGAAATTTCAATCTTGGTATGTATGATGAGTGTATTTAATACATGAGTTACCTTCTCTTCATTTCTAACTATCAATTTCTGTAATATTTACATGAGGACCATTTTTAAAAGGTCTTTCGGTCTTTACTTTAATTCATAGTCTCATAGCTCCGTGTGTACCATCATTTTGGTTAGCGGTGTCTTTTGATGGAAAAAAAAACGCATTTGCAATCTTCAATTTTAAAGGCCTTCAACAGCAACATGCAGCGCTATTTCGATTTTGTCAAAATATACAAAATTGTTGGAAATTGTTTGAAGTTTATGATATAGACTTTTCAAAATTCTATTTCAAGTAGGATTTGACAACTTTTATATTTTGGCACTGTAGGTTTACTAATACAGTCGGAAATAGGCCTAACCTCTTTATTTCTTTTGACCAACTATTGATTTCTTATATATTAAAGTGAAACTGATCTTTTATAGATACTGAGAAGGGAATTTGAAAATGAGGCTCAATCAACTGGAAGAGAAAGATTGTTATTAACTGCAGCCGTTGCCGCTGGAAAGAGAACAATAGATTCAGCTTACGAAATCTCAAAAATAGCGGCGTGAGTTGAACCTACATTTATATGAGATACATCAAGCACTTCTCTTTTACTTGTTATTTTTATCTTACAAAAAACTTAAGTCTGTCCAACTTTTTCTTGTCGGGGATCTCTGTCTTAAGATACAAATGTTTAAATATGCAGCTTGATCAATTTATCTACCATTTCTTTACCTTTTACCTCCCCATTTCAAAATGTTCTCAATAGAAGAAAATCAAGATAATAAGAGGTCAACGAAATTATCAAAGGAATGACAATACCTTTGTTCCAAAGCCACACAAAATTTTAATACAAGTCCTGAATATGACAGTTGTTTCCACGTGGTCCGTTGATTGATAGCGTCTGATTTTGTCAGTTTTTCTGGACTTCCTCTTTTTGAATTTTCCTTGGAGTTCGGTAATGATGCTATGCTTTTTTTATACATATAACAATGTAAACAACCCCCTCTAAATATATCGTACTTTAAAACTAAGTTATGATTTTTTTTTCAAATATTTACATAATTTCATAAAAAGATTTATCTAAGAACTATTATTCTATTGCAGCAATTAAAAAAGATGCATATCTTTATTAAAATGATAATAATTTATAAACAAAATAGTTTATTTACAAATATAGTTGTTTCTGTTTCAAGCTGAAGAGCACATTTTATAGACTATTTTTTAGTATGCAAGCGATCTTCTATGAACCTTTTTATTCTACTTATTAATATCATAAAATATAGAAGGGGTCTTGGTATCCACAAAAGTTGTTTAACCACCCCTTATGGTATTGTGTATTTGTCCTAAATCAGGAACTGCGTCTGTCCTTCGAGGTAATGATAGCACGTATTTTGAAGACTCTGTTAAAGTCTTGACTTACTTGAGATTCATAGCATTCCCTTTTAAGAAAATCTGTAATGTTTCTAAGAAATATAGCTCATATGCAAATAAAGGTCGAGTATATATTAGAAGTGCATAACTAATTCTTTAAAAAAATTAATTTATGAAAAGGGAATCTAAATATTTATACCATTACAGTGATCTGGATTTCATCAGTTTAATGGCGTATGACCTTCATGGTTCATGGGAAGCGAAAACTGGTCAAATCAGTCCGCTATATCCTAGAAACGACGAAACAGGAGACGAACGAACGCTAAATCAGGTATATATAAGTGTATATGATATTTTAAAAAAAAATATTTGCAACAAATTTGTAAACAATAACATATTTTTTTATGTGTTTTCTTCTCCAATAAAGTAAAGGTTCAACAAACAGAGTTATAATTAATAAATCAAGGCTGAAAATTAATTTCAAATTAATGGTATGCTGATATAACAAACAACCAATTTAAGTTTTGTTTTTATCATACAACGTTAGCCATTACAACTGCTCATACGACTTTTTGTATCTCAAGAGTGAACCATACTTCCACTTGGACATACTGTTAAAGAAGTGATTAATGTTGCTTTCAGTTAATAGATAAAACAATTTTGATAAGACTAAATAATGAACTGTAAATAAAAAGGGTTTGAATGAATTATTAACGTTGTATGTCTTTTTTATTGAATTAAAGTGGAAATCATCAACCTCTTTTCACAGCAGTTGTACCCCTTTATTACAACTTAAACATAATTGTATGTACGTTGTTTTTTTTAAAGCCAAAATATCAGAAGTGTATTCAGATACATTGTTGGTAAAACATGCAGTTTTAGTGACTATAATTTGATTTTTATTTTTTTAAATAATGTAATGTATCTTTTACATTTTAGGACTGGGCTGCTAAATATTGGATAGATCAAGGAACGCCAAAAGAAAAACTAATTCTTGGAATTCCCATGTATGGTAGATCATTTAAGTTGTCAAGTTCCTCAAACAATGAATTAGGTGCAGCAACTGCTGGTGCAGGATATCCAGGAAAATATACAGGGGAAGCAGGCTTTCTAAGCTATTATGAGGTTTTTGTTCTTCAAGATATATTTCATTAAAAAAGTATAAAAAGAATAAAATGGAAAATGGAAACGGGGAATGTGTCAAAGAGACAACAACCCGACCAAAGGGCAAAAAACAGCCCAAGGCCACCAATGGGTCAGAATTTTTCAGTAAAAAAAGTAAATATAAGGCTTGCACATCATACAATCCATCTTTTTTTATATGTGGTTTTTTCAGGTTAAGGTATTTTGGGAGTAAAGCGGGGACAATCCTCAAGAAATTTGTTTTCTATTAAATGGCAGATAGATGAATAATTGAATGAAATATGGCCACTTATTGGTAAATTGGTAAATAAAAAAAACAAGATCACTATGTTACAAGTCTTTCTAAATTGATTAATACTGGACTTAACTATGTCGTGTGGCCTGTGGTGGATGGTTGTCACATCTCCTTATTTTTATACAAACCACAATGCCAAAATCCAGAATTGACATATAAACCATAGAAGGTTGTTTTTTGCTAGCATATATTTGAAATCTATCTTGTTAATACTGCTTATAAAAGACTTGACATGGAATCGTATTATGATTATGAGTAAACTGAAATGTGGTGTGTACGTCACTGAAACACATAGACATTAAAATACATATGACAAGCTTTAAATTACCTTCAAGTCTTGACAAAGATTTTATTATATATCTAACTTTTACCCTTTACTCTAATACCGACGGCTGCATATTTCATACTGCAGCATCATCAATAGTACAAGGAAGATACGATCTTTTAGAATCATCAGATGTGGTTCAAACAGATACGTAGATTCGTATTCTATACCAACATTGGTATTGATGTTCGCACTTTTAACTGAATGCAAGGGTAAAGTGACTAATGTAGTAAATAAAAATCAACTACAAAATAAACGTTATCAGCTGGATCAACATTTTATATAAATATACAATAAGAAAATTGTTAATATCATACGAAAAATCTTCATTTATATTTTAGATATGTTCAAGCGGATGGACAACAGCATGGAATGATGAGCAGCAAGTTCCATATGCATATTCTGGAGATCAGTGGGTGGGATACGACAACGTTCGAAGTGTTACGATTAAAGTGAGTAAGAAACAAGTCAGACTTTTTGCGGCATACCAAAACATCCAAATCTGTTAATAGCCAACTTTGTATAAGACAGTTGTAAAATTGTTTTTTTTTTTAAAGATTCATGGTTTATCAATGTTAAAATAATTCAAAATGTACATTGTAAGAAATGTCATTACCGAAATCTTGCATGTTCAACTGATGAATTTTTTTTTTAATATTTTGACGTTAAAACTAATATATGGTCAAGGTTTTTACTCGATGTGTAGGTTGAATATACAATAAATTTGCATTTTTGTCTTTCTTTTTATTTTTTGATTGTTCCTTTATCTTTTAGATACACGAGGTAAGCTGGTAATTCTCGTACATGTAACATTATAGTGACCATTACGAAAGGTTTCTACAAATAAATGAAAAATATCAATTTTCAGGCAAAGTATATTAAAGAGAAGGGACTAGGAGGTGCTATGTTTTGGACTCTTGATTTCGACGACTTCACAGGGAATGCATGCAATAAAGGCGCTTATCCATTGATATCAGCTGTAAAAAAAGAACTAACTTCAACAAAACCAGGCTTTCGTCCTCAACCTACAACAGGTCATTATTTTATACATGATTATTTGGACTTTATGAACGACTAGTGTTTCATTTTTTAAGTACACAAGTACCCAGATATTTTGAAAAACCTATACATGTAAATTCGAAACCAGCAGTGGCAAAAACAAAACAGCTAATTGTTGCGTGTTTGACTGAGTCAAATAACATATTTCTTTTTATAAAATTCCCCTTTGATGAATTAATACCTCACTAGAAAATAAGGTTCCAACTCCCTCATCCAAAGTTGACCTTAGATGAAATTAGCATTTTATTTTAAGTCCCTTTAGCTCATAAAGCTCCTAACATATTTACGTATTTATACATCCCTGGTTTACTTTTTCTTTTTGGTTTGAGCATTGCTGATGAAGGATAATCCAGTGAAGAGCATCCAACGCACGAAATTTATACAAGCATCGTTATGACACATGAACAAAATAATTCGATTTTTGCTGCACCATGTTCGAATTTTAAAAATATATTCTTATACAACATAAAATATAAAGAAAGTGTGACAATGATCAGTAAATTTTCTTACTTGCATACAATGGAAAAAATAGTAATGTCGACCCTAACAGAGTGTGCTTAGTTGCGTGCACAGGATTAAGCATTTGCTGCATCCCCCATTAACAAAATACAAAGTCAAACCGAGTAATAAGAATTAAAGCCAGGAATAAGACAGATATTGATACCTGATTGGTACAAGTAGACACATGGGATATTGATAACTGATTGATACTAGTAGACACATGGGATATTGATACCTGATTTATACTAGTAGACACATGGGATATTGATACCTGATTGGTACTAGTAGACACATGGGATATTGATACCTGATTGGTACTAGTAAAAACATGGGATATTGATAACTGATTGATACTAGTAGACACATAGGATATTAATACATGATTGGTACTAGTAGACACATGGGATATTGATACCTGATTGATACTAGTAGACACATGGGATCTACGACTTCTAGTACACATTGAAAGATATCTTATTTTGTTGTGGGTTTTTGGTAATACTGGAAATATTATCCATAACGAATTCTGTTTTCCCAAACACAGTTTAATTGAGGTCTGGAGCTGGCATTCAGTAACTGCTAGCAGTCCTTTGTTAATTGATGTATCATTGTCATTTTGCTTAGTTTCTTCTGTTACTTTTTCTGACATCGGACTCTGATTTCTTTTTAACTGAGTTTTACTGTGTGTATTGCTGTGTGTTTGTTTATTATACCTGATTGGTACTAATAGACACATGGGATATTGATACCTGATTGATACTAGTAGACACATGGGATATTAATACCTGATTGATACTACTAGACACATGGGATATTGATACCTGATTGGTACTAGTAGACACATGGGATATTGATACCTGATTGGTACTAGTAGACACAGGGGATATTGATACCTGATTGGTACTAGTAGACACATGGGATATGGATACCTGATTGATACTAGTAGACACATGGGATCTACGACTTCTAGTACACATTGAAAGATATCTTATTTTGTGGTGGACTTTTGGTAATACTGGAAATATTTTCTATAACGAATTCTGTTTTCCCAAACATAGTTTAATTTAGGTCTGGAGCTGGCTATCAGTAACTGCTAGCAGTTCTTTGTTAAATAATGGATCATTGTCCTTTTGCTTAGTTTCTTCTGTTACCTTTTCTGACTTCTTTTAAAACTGAGTTTTACTGTGCGTATTGCTGTGTGTTTGTTTATTATACCTGATTTGTACTAGAAGACACATGGGATATCGATACTCGATTGATACTAGTAGACACATGGGATAATGAAACCTGACTGATATTAGTAGACACATGGGATATTGATACCTGATTGATACTAGTAGACACATGGTATATTGATACCTGATTGATACTAGTAAACACATGGGATATTGATACCTGATTAGTACTAGTAGACACATGGGATTTAGATACTTGATTGAGACTAGTAGACACAAGGGATATTGATACCTGATTGGAACTAGTTGACACATGGGATATTGATACCTGATTGATACTAGTAGACACATGGGATATTGATATCTGATTGATACTAGTAGACACACGGGATATTGATATCTGATTGATACTAGTAGACACATGGGATATTGATACCTGATTGATACCAGTATACACATGGGATATTGGTACCTGACTGATACTAGTAGACACGTGGGATATTGATACCTGATTGATACTAGTAGTCACATGTTATTTTGATACCTGATTGATACTTGTAGATACATGGGATCTACGACTTCTAGTACACATTGAAAGATATCTTATTTTTTGGTGGGGTTTTGGTAATACTGGAAATATTTTACATAACGTTTTCTGTTTTCCCAAACACAGTTTAATTGAAGTTTTGAGCTGACATTCAGTAACTGCTAGCAGTCCTTTGTTAATTAATGTATCATTGTCATTTTGCTTAGTTTCTTCTGTTACCTTTTCTGACATCGGACTCTGACATCTTTTTAACTGAGTTTTACTGTGCGTATTGCTGTGTGTTTGTTTATTCTACTTTGGCTAGAGGTATAGCGGGCGGGTTGTGATCTCACAAAACATGTATAACCCCGCCGCATTTTTTCGCCTGTCCCAAGTCAGGAGTCTCTCGCCTTTGTTAGTCTTATATGTTTTTTTAATTTAAGTTAATTTTCATTTTTCGGAGTTTAGTCTGACGTCCATTTTCACTGAACTAGTACACATTTTGTTTAGGGCCATCTGATTCCCGCCTCCGGGTGCGATATTATCTCGTTGTGTTGAAGACCCATTGGTGGCCTTGGGCTGTTTTCTGCTCTTTGGTCGGGTTGTTGTCTATTTGACACATTCCCCATTTCCATACTCAGTTTTATAGCTAGCTTGAATCCAGAACATTTCGAGCTTGACATTTATTAGTATTTACATCTTTCTGTCATCACTGGGATTAAACTGATGTCCGTAACTGCAATTACAGATATCCCAAATGGCGGACGGAAAATTGATAAAATGAAATTGTTTAAATTTTGTAAGCCGTTAGAAATTATTCTTGAGTTGATGTTTTACTATTAAAACAATAGAAAATCAAACATTTGGCATAATTTTCTATATTTTGAAACATTTTAACAGCTTTACCTTAAAGTTATCAAAAACTGCATTAATATTTGTTATATAATAAATTCACTGACCTTAATCGCATTCTAATATTTCAATGCTTTTGAAGAGCAAATGTGGACTTAAACTCATTTAAGACGAAATAATGTTGCTAATTGTAGTTAATACGAAGAAGGTACCAAGACCAACAACCACAACACACAGAAAAACAACGACTCAACAATCTGTTAAATGTGGCATAAATGGTGAGCATAAATGTTAGATATGGTCTCTTCATGCACCTTTAAAACTTGCTATACTAAAGTAAAACAGTGTTTTACAAATCATTAGCATTGTGACTAAAACTTGCTATACTAAACAGTGTTTTACAAATCATTAGCATTGTGACTAAAACTTGCTATACTAAACAGCGTTTTACAAATCATTAGCATTGTGACTAAAACTTGCTATACTAAACAGTGTTTTACAAATCATTAGCATTGTGACTAAAACTTGCTATACTAAACAGCGTTTTACAAATCATTAGCATTGTGACTAAAACTTGCTATACTAAACAGTGTTTTACAAATCATTAGCATTGTGACTAAAACTTGCTATACTAAACAGTGTTTTACAAATCATTAGCATTGTGACTAAAACTTGCTATACTAAACAGTGTTTTACAAATCATTAGCATTGTGACTAAAACTTGCTATACTAAACAGTGTTTTACAAATCATTAGCATTGTGACTAAAACTTGCTATACTAAACAGTGTTTTACAAATCATTAGCATTGTGACCACATACTTCTCCACTCATACAAATGATACATATACCAGCAAAAACATGTATGTAGTGTTTTCCGTCCATCCGTGCCTTCTGCAAAAAATCGTAAAAAACAACTGAATACATTGTAGACAAACTTATAGCTCTTCTTTATTTGAAGGTGTATTTGTTCATCCTCAACGAAGTTTATATTTGAAGGTGTATTTGGTCATCCTCAATCAAGTTTATATTTGAAGGTGTATTTGGTCATCCTCAATCAAGTTTATATTTGAAGGTGTATTTTTCATCCTCAATCAAGTTTATATTTGAAAGTGTATTTGGTCATCCTCAATCAAGTTTATATTTGAAGGTGTATTTGGTCATCCTCAATCAAGTTTATATTTGAAGGTGTATTTGTTCATCCTCAATCAAGTTTATATTTGAAGGTGTATTTGTTCATCCTCAATCAAGTTTATATTTGTAGGTGTATTTGGTCATCCTCAATCAAGTTTATATATGAAGGTGTATTTGGTCATCCTCAATCAAGTTTATATTTGAAGGTGTATTTGTTCATCCTGAATCAAGTTTATATTTGAAGGTGTATTTGTTCATCCTCAATCAAGTTTATATTTGAAGGTGTATTTGGTCATCTTTAATCAAGTTTATATTTGAAGGTGTATTTGGTCATCTTCAATCAAGTTTATATTTGAAGGTGTAATTGGTCATCCTCAATCAAGTTTATATTTGAAGGTGTAATTGGTCATCCTCAATCAAGTTTATATTTGAAGGTGTATTGAGTCGTCCTCAATCAAGTTTATATTTGAAGGTGTATTTTGTCATCCTCAATCAAGTTTATATTTGAAGGTGTATTTGGTCATCCTCAATCAAGTTTATATTTGAAGGTGTATTTGGTCATCCTCAATCAACTTTATTTTTGAAGGTGTATTTGGTCATCCTCAATCAAGTTTATATTTGAAGTTGTATTTGGTCATCCTCAATTAAGTTTATATTTGAAGGTGTATTTGGTCATCCTCAATCAAGTTTATATTTGAAGGTGTATTTGGTCATCTTCAATCAAGTTTATATTTGAAGGTGTATTTGGTCATCTTCAATCAAGTTTATATTTGAAGGTGTATTTGGTCATCTTCAATCAAGTTTATATTTGAAGGTGTATTTGGTCATCTTCAATCAAGTTTATATTTTCTGGATTTTTATATTTGAGTTTGAGTTACACTTTGGAAGCATTGACACATTTCGTCTTTCAAACAACTAGCGTCAACAAAAAGTAAATCGCCTCATCATTGTTTGGCCAAGTGCCAGTTAGTGTTATAATATATGTAAATAAGACTTGAACACAACATCGCACACCTAAAGAAAACCCAGAGGTCAAAATATCGCAGTCTCCGTCAATAGACGATTACATAAAATGCGTCAGGCTCTAAATCGTCCGAATTTTGAAAAGTATGAATTAATTCAAAAGAGACAATGTAAATATTAAATATTGAATTTTTTAGGGCTTTTTATGAACTCTTTTTCTGAAGCTATATTAATCAATTGGAGACATTAATATACAATTCTAATATGAACAAATATGCCATACGCAAGATACTATTGACACCGTAGTCCATTGGGTTTAAAAACATTTTTAATTTGCACCCAAATTGTACACTTATGTCTATATATATAAACTTTAAACTATAAATAAAATAAAAACATAGGAAATCTCAATAAAGTACAATTTCCTTCGAGTGGTTTTAATGAATCATTCTTTACAATATTATAATGTTAATCACGTTGCTATGTCTGGTTTGTATATTTGCGATTGATGCTTATTTTTTGCATGTTAAGCGATAAAACGAAACTTTTATTTTTTATGTAAATGTAAATGTCATCATTATATTGTTGTTTATACATGTAATTGTTATTATGCATTTGGCCCTCTTATGGGCGTAATTTGTGCTTAATAAAGTATGAAAGGACATAAAATTATGTAATTTATGTATTACATAATGTACATCCTTAACTTGTCTGTAGAATACATTATTCTTGTTACCCTTTAAGTTTAGATAGAATAAGACGAATTTGGATATCAAATTTGACTCTTTCATACTTTTTTGAGCATTCACTGTTAACTTCTTGCATTAGCAAAAAGATCATAAATAAAAAATATAGAAACACCAAGACTTAAACAGAATCCGCAAACTATCGAAACTGAAAGTAACAAAAGATTTTAAAACTGCAGAAATTGAGTCAATGACACCACAATTAAGCATATGTACAATGTACTAACCGTAAATATTACATATGGTGTAGCATTCTCTTGTTTTCATTGGATATTACGATCACGTGTTTAAAAGGTTATTTTATGTTTCTCTTTTTAAGTATATTGACGCTGTGTTTCTATTTATATGTATATTGATGGTCAATATGAAAAATCTTGCTAAATTTAGATTAATGACGTTATGACGTCACACATAACAACCATGGAGATAGCGCCGTAGCAGATGAAAAGAAAATTTGCAAGTTTATCACAAGAATTTTTAATTTAAACGTTTAGCAGACGCTAAGAATACAAGAGAGCTAACGCAACAAGCTATGAAGTTGTTGAAAGAATATATATATTTTCAATAACATGTTGAAATTCTTGCAAATTACAGTATAAAAATACACAGAAAGAACATTGAACGCCATTTTCAATTCCTAATACATTATTTACATATGTATTATATAAATTAAGGACTTTCACTCAGTCAATACGTTATATGAGACATGTAAGATTATATTGACCCTCGGACTTCGTCCTCGGTCAATATAATCTAAACAGGTCCATATATATAACGTATTGACCTCCTCAAAAGTCCATAATTGATAAATATTTAACGTTACTTCTTTTAGTATATTAAATCATTACTATTTGTACCTCTGTTCTTATTTACTTGACAACGCCATTTTTGAAAATTAACATAATATTAATTTATACCCGTGGATGTTACAAAATTTTGTAAAACCATATTTCAATTTTAGGTTCAATGCCATGTAAAGATGGAGCATTTTATGCAGATACATGTGAGAAGAATGTCTTTTATCAATGTGCATGGGGGAGACCTGTTAAACAACGTTGTCGTTGGGGTCTTGTATGGAACCAAGCAGGATATTGTGACTGGGCATAAAAGTTATTCAAGAATTTGACTTTGGAATGTTAGATCAAGTTTCATGTCAAAAATAAATTCTTGCATTTGCAAAAAACGGCCGTTAGTTTTGTCATTTGAATTGATTCATATTTTTCATGTTGGGGCCGTTTATAGCCGACTATATGGTATGGGTTCTTCTCATTGTTGAAGTCCGTACGGTTGCCCTTAACTGCTTACATGCACTATATTTGAACTTTGGTGGATAGTTGTCTCATTGGCAATCATACCACATCTCCTTATTTTAATATCTCTTGAATTTCACTTTTAGGCCGTTATGGACCTTATGTTTCATAGAAATAACCAAAGCAACACAATCACAACTTTCTTCTCAATAAGAACGAAATAAGAAAAACAGTTGTTAACTTGTTTGCCTCTGGCTTTGGTAATGAAAAAAGCAGTTGACATCGAAAGCAGTAAGCCAAGTAAAGAGTCTAAAGGTGGAACACGAAAAAGAAATCAATATTTTATAAAGAAAATTAAAGATGGACGGACAAAAAAAAATTAGGAATGAGTTGAGGCACTCAAGTCTCTTCTCCTCTGCGCTGATGTTAATTGTGCAACTTGTTGTAAAACCATGGGTAATTGATACCGGTGATTATGCACTCTATCATAGCGAATTGTCAAATGTTACTCGTCTTACCAAAAAAAAAACTAAAAGTAAAAAAACAATAATACCGAACTAAAAGGAAAATTCAAAACGGAAAGACCCTTTAAAAGTCCCTTGAAAAACGCATTACTTTAACTAATAATCGGTCCGTACAAATAAAAAAATAATTCATGGCCGAATGTATAAGATTAGAATGATAACAGTTACATATAGAACAGCCAAGACATGAAATAAAAATATCCCCAAATTCAACATAAAAAACTCTAGTAATATCCACACGAATCCCTTTTACCACCATTGGCACCCATCATGTTGTTCATGGCAAATCGGGGACAAATTTTAACACTTGTTTTCAGACATGTTTATTTTTCTGCCAACGAAAAATCAAATATGGGAAGTGAATAGATTTGTTGTGCCTATTGTTCAATATATTTCATGACTGATCGAGTTTCATTTCAAAGTGTAATCGGAAAGATATTCACTGATCACTTGAATTTCAAACAGGAAAACGATGTAATTGTAATGTCTATCTATAACAGGGGGAATATGTATTATTTCCTCTATCTATAGCAGGGGGAATATTTATTATTTCCTCTATCTATAGAAGGGGAAATATGTATTATTTCCTCCATCTATAGCAAGGGAAATATGTATTATTTCCTCTATCTATAGCAGGGGTAATATGTATTATTTCCTCTATCTATAGCAGGGGAAATATGTATTATTTCGTCTATCTATAGCAGGGGGAATATGTATTGTTTCCTCCATCTATAGCAGGGGAAATATGTATTATTTCCTTTATCTATAGCAGGGGAAATATGTATTATCATTTCGTCTATCTATAGCAGGGGGAATATGTATTAATTCCTCTATCTGTAGCAGGGGAAATATGTATTATTTCCTCTATCTATAGCAGTGTATTATTTCATCTATCTATAGCAGGGGAAATATGTATTATACATATTTTCTGATGATGCTGATTTCAAGTTTCAAGATCATATCGCTGTTATTCGTGAACATGAAAGCATACTATTTTGGTTGAATCAGTGTATCTGCAGATTGACTGTTTCTATCGTTATATTACATTCTTAATTCTGTACAGTTAGCTTTAGCAACTTTTTTTCTGTACTATTTTTGACGTTGCTGTGTGAAATAGAGCCATTGATATTAACATGTATGATTGCATAATTTCTCTTAGTAGATTAAGTACTATGAGCTTGTTTTCAGTCACAACTATCATTGTTTGATACGGTTTAATATTGTTTTATTATAAACCCTACCCCTTCCGCTTTCTGGAGCGGGAGGTATATAGTGTTAGGAGGTCTTCCGTTTGTAAACTTTTACAGAATCTTATTTACAGATGAACTGGTACACCTCCTATTTCATTTCTTCATTCGAAGGATTTTTTGGGTTCATTTTGGCATGACATAGACTTTTGTCGTATCCGCTCGACTACAGTTCACATTATATCCGCTTTTCCTCATAAATCGCTAAAGCTTATGGATATTTTCTCAGTATCTCTACTTTATAATGCATTTTGCACCTCCATTTTCGTTTTTGACACTGACAACTTTTGGACTTTCTTTTAGCAATCTTGGTTTATCTAGGGTACCCATTTTGTATCCGCAACTCCTCCGTAACCCCATATTATAATTTATTTAAACCTTTTTAGAATATAACCCATATAATGCACCTTCAATGTTGTTTGTTTTTGTTTTTTTTTTTGTTTTGTTTTTTTTTTTTAGGGGGGGGGGGGGGGGGAGTTGTTCACTTAGTTTTTCATAGACTGTTATTCATGTATGATGGGGTGGGGTATCAATTTTGGTGTTTTGCCGACAGGATTACTAGTTTGTATTTATTTTCCATGTTTTCGTGTTCAGTGGAACGAGCCACAAAACGATCTGTAGCCATCTTTATGCACTTTGTGACGGAGCATTAAATTAATGTTACCAGCCGCAAAGTCAGGAGCCTCATTATTGGTTGTCTCATTTCATGTTTAAGGGCATACGATACAATTACAGAGAAGGTAATGAAGTCGCTAACGTAAAATGTTATTTTTCCCGACGTCAAACTATGACACATTGGCAAAAGATACATTTTTCGACTGATTTTAATCAGAAACTTGAAAACGAGCACATGGAACCCTCTTTTTTAAAATGGCTTTTGGATTGATTATGTTTCAAGATTATTTGTACCAATTTTTATGAAAAAATCACTAACGTTTTTTTTTTAAATCAGAAAAATATACAGAAAAAATGCCGTTTTTTTTTCTAAAATCATGTACATTTAATAAAAGTGAATTATATACTTCCTTGTTGAAGACTTGAATGTAGCCATATAGATGACTTATGGATATCGTTGCTGTCTCATTGAAGTTTACTCGACATCTCATGTATTCCTAGTCCAGAAATCAAGCGGTATTATTATAATAACAACATTTTCTATCTTTCATTTTTTTTTAAATTGCCTATATTAAAGTGTAAGTTTTAAATTCTATTTAACTCAATTACATATGAATAAATCAAGATTTTTATTTGACTGATTTGCGTTCTGTAAGATATAAAATCAGGAAAATGTAAATAAAAGTTCTTATAGCGAAATAATATGATATACTTTTTAAAATATTGAATACCATGACGTAGTGGGTATGCTTCATTTTATATCAATTTGGATAAGAGATGGGAAAACATAAAGCTATGATGTGCTGAAAACATATTTAGACAAGTATGATGTTGTTGATAAAACCACAGAAAAGTTGTTTCACGTTTCTTGGTTGATGATTAACATCACATGTACATTTGCAAAAAAATCCCTGTTTATTTTCCTAGTTATTACCTGGCGGCTAATAATGACAACAACAACAAATATTATTTACAAAACTTTATGAGCTATCCATTTGTCTTAGTGGTTAGTAAATATAACTGGGATAATGAAAACATCCTAAATACAAAAATATTTAATGTACATTAAATTGTTTTCATTAATATACTGAAAGGTAGGTTGCCTTATGCGTTATTCTTTGATTAAAAAGCCCTTTATTGTGTACATCATCATAAACATCATTGTAACTTCCAGCTCCAGGTCTTGTAGGAGCATCACTTGCATCAATGTAAGTATCGCGGAGTCCTATTTTATTGGGTGGCAGTGAAGGGCGCGGAAACCCATCTTTCATTTCATTCGAATAATTTGATAAAGGATGTTAATAATCCACTTGTTCCATTCAGTGGTCTGTATGGTTGTTATTCTGTTGGTAACTTCTTTTGAATTACTTTCAAGCTGATTATATCATATGGTTAATAAAGATTTCTTCCTTTTTTGAAATCATTTATTACTTTTAACAGGGGAAAATGCAGATAACGATATGTGATTTCAGTTTATTCTTTCATATGAGTATTGCCCCGGATTAACCAAACACTCAATCAATCATTCATGTTATTTCTATCAACAGCGATCTTCAATAAAAGAGGGACGAAAGATACCAGAGGGACAGTCAAACTCATAGATCGAAAACAAACTGACAACGTCATGGCCAAAAATATAAAAAGACAAACAGACAAATAATAGTACAGATGACACAACATAGAAAACTAAAGACTAAGCAACACGAACCCCACCAAAAACTGGGGTGATCTCAGGTGCTCCGGAAGATATATAAAAATAAACAATTGAAATTAGAAGTAACAAAGAAGACCGGATATGTTCTGCTTAAATCAGTTTCTATTTGTCTATTAAGGATTTTAGTGGGAATCTTGTTGCTCAATCTTTTATTTTTTTCTGTAATATAGTGTTGCACGGATTTAAGTTTGTATTTTTGCTTTTTATTTATTTTAGCTATGGTGTTGTTTGTATCATTTTCAATTACGATTCTTTATGTCCTTTATTCTCCCTGGGTATTTCCTACATATTTACATAGGACACAACTTACCAGGTGAAGGAAGAGTTATGACGCGTGGATATCTATTATTTGATGTACTGTTATGACGCGTGGATATCTATTATTTGATGTACTGTTATGAAGCGTGGATATCTATTATATGATGTACTGTTATGACGCGTGGATATCTATTATTTGATGTACTGTTATGACGCGTGGATATCTATTATTTGATGTACTGTTATGACGCGTGGATATCTTTTATTTGATGTACTGTTATGACGCGTGGATATCTAGTATTTGATGTACTGGTATGAAGCGTGGATATCTATTATTTGATGTACTGGTATGAAGCGTGGATATCTATTATATGATGTACTGTTATGAAGCGTGGATATCTATTATTTGATGTACTGTTGTGACGCGTGGATATCTATTATTTGATGTACTGTTATGACGCGTGGATATCTATTATTTGATGTACTGTTATGAAGCGTGGATATCTATTATTTGATGTACTGTTATGACGCGTGGATATCTATTATTTGATGTACTGTTATGACGCGTGGATATCTATTATTTGATGTACTGTTATGACACGTGGATATCTATTATTTGATGAACTGTAATGACGCGTGGATATCTATTATTTGATGTACTGTTATGAAGCGTGGATATCTATTATTTGATGTATTGTTATGACACGTGGATATCTATTATTTGATGTACTGTTATGAAGCGTGGATATCTATTATTTGATGTACTGTTATGACGCGTGGATATCTATTATTTGATGTACTGTTATGACGCGTGGATATCTATTATTTGATGTACTGTTATGAAGCATGGATATCTATTATTTAATGTACCGTTATGACGCGTGGATATCTATTATTTGATGTACTGTTATGACGCGTGGATATCTATTATTTGATGTACTGTTATTAAGAGTGGATATCTATTATCTGATGTACAGTTATGACACGTGGATATCTATTATTTGATGTATTGTTATGAAGTGTGGATATCTATTATTTGATGTACTGTTATGACGCGTGGATATCTATTATTTGATGAACTATTATGGAGCGTGGATATCTATTATTTGATGAACTATTATGGAGCGTGGATATCTATTATTTGATGTACTGTTCGATCGTTTTGTCTTCTTTTCTAAAAATATAAGTACTATTACATTTACAAATCAGCATTTCCTGTAAGTGGGATTTACATACATTTTTGAAGATATAATTAATAAAAACAAAATATATTAAACGTTTTCTATACTAACTTAATTAAACTTATAACTGTTAATAAATATATGCAAAGTTTAAATCTTATTTTGAAACCAATTTTTTTTTATCAATATGAAATATTTTGTCTTATAAAAACCGATCACGCAAATTTTCCTTCATAACGAAACGTTAATCAGTCTATAAATTTTACTAATTAAAGACAACGACAACACTTTTTGTCTGCTTTGTGGTGACGACTTTCTAAAAATATTAGATTTAAGGGCCCAAAACCAGCAAAAACGCTCTGTCCGCATTTGAAAGTTTTTTTTTGCTCCTTTTTCAATGTTTGTGTCATACATCTGAACATTACAAAAAGTATTCAAATATTTAGATAAGTTCAAATGGATTTGTGCTAGTAACTTTTAAAGTAGCATCCATGAAAACAATGTCCACTCCACAACGACAATAAACAATTGGCAAAATAATTATCATTATTTCAAATTGTAGTCTTTCCTTTTAATTGCCTAAGTTAATACAATTTCATTTAGTAAAATGGCGGTCATCTTTGGATGCTGATGATCAAGTTCATCTGCATTGATTCAATTGACAAGTCCTATTGATAGCGTACTTTTCTACTTGTCCACTTTGCAACGTCTTTTCACTCATACGGTCTTTGCATCGGAAATAAACACATTTGTTCTAAAACCAGTTGTTGGCATGATGCGGGTTATGTTCTTCCGATATATTTTATGATGGTATGTCACTAAACCTCTAAAGGGAGGGATTGTGCTTGATTTAATATGATAAAGATATAATCTTTCAATCAGTTTAATTGAGGTCTGGAGCTGGCATGTCAGTAACTACTAGTAGTCCTTTGTTATTATATGTATCATTGTCATTTTGCTTAGTTGCTTTTGTTACCTATTCTGACATCGGACTCGGACTTCTTTTCAACTGAGTTTTACTGTGCGTATTGCTGTGTGTATGTTTTTTCTACATTGGCTAGAGGTATAGAGGGAGAGTTGAGATCTCACAAAACATGTTTAACCCCGCCGCATTTTTGCGCCTGTCCCAAGTCAGGAGTCTCTGGCCTTTGTAAGTCTTGTATGTTTTTTTAATTTTATTTCAATAATATGTTTTGGAGTTTAGTATGAAGTCCACTTTCACTGAACTTGTACACATTTTTATTTAGGGACCAGCTGAAGCCCGCCTCCGGATGTGGGATTTTCTCGCTGTGTTGAAGACCCATTGGTGGCATTCGGCTGTTTTCTGCTCTTTGGTCGAGTTATTGTCTCTTTGACATATTTCCCATTTCCATTCTTAATTTTTTTTTTAAGAAATGTTAACCTCAAATCATAAAAAAGTGAAGTTTATGAAATAAAATGTATTATCTAAGACAATAATCATTAAACATGTATCTGAGAAACCGCGTGTAACAACAATGGCTGTAACATGTAAATACGTCCACTGCTCAACGGTCCACTACGAAACATTTCGTTTCGATTTGGACACCATCCGTTGCGTAGTGGACACAAAGCGTTTCATAGGAGACATATATCGTTACGCAGTGGACATTTGTGAATATTTTAAAAACGGCATTTAATATTTTCTAGTAGCTAAACTTACAAATCAAATTAAAGTTAAACCGTATAAAATCATATTTTTTGTCGGATTCTTGAAGAAAAAACACCCTAAAATTCTAATTTTTAGCATGGAAGAGCCTTAAAAAAATCGTTGCAAATGGGAAATCTTGGTGCACCATGTTCACTTCAACAGAGTTGTTGTCAAACTTACCGTTCAGTTTAAGGTTGCATATTTTGTATTTAGTTTATACTTATGTTAAAGTATTGACATGTACAATTATATCACTTATTTCTCAACATTTTTTTTTTCATTTTCTAGTTGTTAAAAATGGACGTTTTAAAAAAAAAAGCCCATATATATGAACATTGAACTATTTCGATGATACAATAATATGTCCTGCAATTGTTCATATCTTTATCTTTTCATGAATAGTAGTTTATAATGTGCCAAAATACTTATTAACAAATGATTCATAAATATTTTAACTCAGGAGAAAATAAAACGCGAAACAACTTAGAGAAGAAATAAAAACTTGCAATACCAATCAAGTACTGCTGACAGCTCATAAATAAGGTGTACATGTTGCAAAGTCGCCTGTCCGTTGATGAAGATTGATATGTTTGTTAGATATTTTGTTGTTGGTCTGTTGTCTCAGCGACGTAAACAACACCTGTTTCATAATTCGTGCATATAATGTTCAACACGGTTCGAGAATATATGTTCAGCACGTTTTAGAATCATATATATATATTATTCTTGATCATCAAGAAATGAACATTTCTGTAACCTATATATGGAAAATCAAAGAACCATTTTCTTCAAGTTCTTGCATATTTTTTTCCTACATCTAGATAATTCTTCAAATCTTAAAATCAGTGGTGAATATGTTACGATCTGAAATATAGTATAAACACTCCAGATCACAATGACTGCTGATGATAGCCAAAGAGAGAGGAAAGTCCCTATTTTAAGAATATACTGATATAAAATTACCATTTTTAACAAAAGATTTTATATTAAAATGTCTTTTGTTGTGTTGACTAATTTCATTCCTTGCAAAAAGACTTCGCCAGTCAGTGTAATGTAATTATCGATTACTCGTCTAAATATGCATAAAATAGTGCCACTGGACGTCAAAACAACAATATGTAATCACTAAATTTATGGATTACCATTAGACCTGAAATATACGACTTGAAAGTGATGTTTATTGGTGAATATAAACAAAAAATACTTTTGAATAATATGATCTGGCTACAAAATGTGAGATCTTCAACTAGTCGTTGAAGACCTCACACAACCATAAAAATGAAAACCGCGGCTAGAAAATCGTTTCCTTTGATCACTTTTTCATGGAATTTTCCCAATACCCCTTTTTCAATTTATGACAAGTTCATCTCTTACGCTTTGTAGATCTATAAAATAAATGTATCCCACTGATTGATGTATATGCTTCTTAATATTTTTTTACAGTTGAAAAAGTTTCGTTCATCAAATTATTACCCATAGTGGTATTACATATCAACAAATTTATTTGCCAAAGTGACGCTTCAAAAGTATTTCGGAATTACACATGTTATTATTGCTAAATTTTCACTGTTACTTGTTCGTGTTATTTCTGACATACCATGCTACGTCACAATGCATAATTCGTACGTTTGCGACTTATGATTATAGGTTTGACATTCCAGCAGCGCCTGCATACGGAGTATATATCTCCCAATTGATACGATATTCCCGGGCTTGTATTTCCTATCATGATTTCCTTGATAGAGGATTGCTGCTCACAAGGAAGCTATTAAACCAAGAGTTCCAAATGGTGAAGTTGAAATCATCCCTTCGAAAATTTTACGGACGCCATCACGAGTTGGTTGACCGTTATGGAATAACCGTTTCACAGATGATATCGGATATGTTCCTTATGTCGTAACTACAATACCCTTCCCTTTTCACGAATGTTACCTACCGAATTAGACTATTTACTGGATTTGTAATAACATAAGCAACACGACGGGTGCCACATGTGGAGCAGGATCTGCTTACCCTTCCGAAGCCCCTTGAGATCACCCCCAGTTTTTGGTGGGGTTCGTGTTGCTTAGTCTTTAGTTTTCTATGTTGTGTCATCTGTACTATTATTTGTCTGTTTGTCTTTTTATTTTTGGCCATGGCGTTGTCAGTTTGTTTTCGATCTAAGAGGTTGACTGTCCCTCTGGTATCTTTCCTACCTCTTTTTTGACCCTGATTAAGGGATTCTAGAACTATGGTAATGTGTTATTTGAGGGGGCACTGTGTCCTATGGCCACATATTATTCTTTTTTCAAATGTTCTGAATATACATGTTCATGTATGTGTATCTTCAATATTTATACCGCTGGACGTTAAGCAGCCATGCATCATCATCAATATTTATAACCGCCGCATTGTCTTCTGGTAGCGTGCTAGGCTCAGGCGCGGGAGGTTTTGGGTTCGATCATCGGCTGCTTCTAATCAAAGATTTGCTGCCTCTCGAGATATTTAGGAGCAAGAGCAAACATTGGTCGGTCCGGAAACAATATAATGTGTCCGGGTTTGGTGACATGTTTTCCTACGGATTGTCATCTTGTAAACTAGCATGTTAAAAATTTGGATCAGCGTGTCGGTCTAGTACAACGTTGGGTTCATATTCATTTTTTCGTCATGAGTACATGTATGCATATTCGAGCAACATATGTAATGAACACTTTTGGTCCTACATCCTGTTGATACTTTTTTAGTATTGTGCAAAGTCGTGATTTCTTACACTGCGTTGGGACTAAAAAATCGAAAAGGAATTCCATATTAAGCATGCCGTTTTGACTGCATAGCTCATCAAAATCTTATTATCTTATTTTTTTTTTTCTGTGTTTCTTCCTTACGAAACATGACATTAATATTTTATGGAGAAAAAAAAAATTGGTGACCCCCTATAAATTGTTTATCAATGAAATTGATAAAATACTATAAGTTTATGTATTTCAAAGAATAACAATATTTTGCCTGGAAATTTCTTTTGTATTTGAATCGTTTAGCATTTCAAATTGAAACTCATTCCAACACAGAACAACCCTTAGTCGAGTAAACCTTCTAAAATACAACCCATTTAAGGAATTATTTATCTATAGTTTGTTTATTATTAATGGCAAATACTTTTATTTAGAAAAAAAAATTGGAAGTGATAGTTGTTAACTCAATTTTCAACTTTTATCAAGAAACAAATTCTAAACCACTGATTTCGACATTTCGGAACCTGTCAAATAAATATCCTTCTAAAAATACGGTCTAAAAATCGTTTCCCCACAAAAATATTGACAAATAAATAGTTATTTAAACAAAAGA